ATTTTTTAATTCTAAGCTATAATGTAAAGAATCTTAGAGCAATTTTTTTTTTTTACATTAGAAGATATATAGAATATCAATTACACTTGAGTTCGATTATTAAAAATTAATTTTGTAAGATCTTATAAAATGATGAAAAAGTTTTCATTTTATTCTATTTCCTTTACTTGGTTTGCGCTAAATCAATAAAATTAGTTTAGATCTTACTAATTTAATCCAAATATTTAAAATTAGTGATGAATTGAATGTAAGCGAACTAATGACACTAAAATTCATTTTTTAGTTAAAAAATACAGAGACAAATAACATTTTAATGTTTAAAAATCTTTCTACTTTTTTAAAGAAAATTCTAACAAAAATTTCTTTAACATAGATTTTATTGATTTTAAAATTCGCTCAGATAACTCAATGAACAATGATCACAATTTTACAATTAAAATTATTAATTTCTTAGATTTAACAAAATTAACGACATTGTACTAGAAGTTAAAACTTAAGCATTTGAACACATATTTTCTGATTAAACATAACATTAATAACATAAATATAAAACAATACTACACTCTCAAATTATCAATCAAAATATTAATAATTTGCCAAAAAAGAATGAAACTCTCCATTCATATTCAAATCAAACCTAATATTGTAAAAAGTTATAAAATATTATTCAAGTAACTTTATGTATTTAAAACAATTTGAAAAATTAATTAAGGCAAATTTATTTTCTTAACGTAAAATTTGATCTTATTAACATTTATGATTGAATTGACATAGCCTTTTTATCTGTTATGCATACAATTATTTGCTCATTCAATGTTTACCAATTCATTATATATTAAGATTTGCGCTAATATTTCAATATCAACAAGAAAAAGGATATTTAAAATACATATCGAATTGAAACCTAAAATAAATTTAGTTTATTTATTATTATTTCCAATATTGTAGAAGTTTTACTATATTGTTAACCTTATTCTTAAAGGGAATGTAAAATGAATAAAATATTAAACACTCAAAATAGATTTATCATATTTTATATTTAAATTATTGTAATTTATCTATCTATTTGTAATCAAAATTCCTAAAAGATTTTGTATGAATCTTATTCTTGTAATTATATACAGAAGAATTTACAGAGAATATTAATCAAGAAACAAAAGAGGATGGATTTCCATAACTTGGAAAATAAAGTGAAGTTATTAACTTATTCTCATAAATGATTACGCCTTCTCAACCATCCTATCATCTTGGATCCGAATATATCAACTAAAAGAATGTTAAAATAAATACACTCGAATAGAATTGTATAATATTTGGCAAAAATCAATACATCAAATCCAACATTTAAAGTATTAATTTAATTGTGAATATCATTAAAGATATCCATTTTATGAACACTTCCTGCCTTATTTAATAAGAGATGATCATTAAAATAATCTATTTTATCTATAAACTCTGTCATTTTCAGCATATACATTATTGAACAAAATATTTTCTATTATCAAATTATGAATAAAGATCTAATTAATATTATTGTAAAATATCTAATTAATCTCTTTTTATTTCTCTCAAAATAATCATGAATCTTTTTTTATTTAATATCATCTTAAACACTGAAATTAGAGAAAGTCTAAGGTCCCTCCTACTCATTCTAAACAACCCTATCTCACTTATTTCAGAGTCATTATTTTCACTTCATATATTAAGTGGATTCATATTTTTAATTAATTAATAAATGTATGATTATGAATATTAAATCCAACAAGAACTTCACATTCATTATTAAAAACTAATTGACTAGCTGATGGTAAAACACTAAAAATTGTTTGTACTATTTTACCAATATTAGAATACCTTGTGTATTTTGTAAAATTTAAATTAACGTCATTTATTTCATTCATATAATGGTTTTTTATATTGAAATTTTGTCCATTTTTCAATTTCTAGTTCAAGGTTATGTAGACTTCTGCCATAATATATTTTCGAGGTTTTCTAGAAATATAATAAGGAGTTATATAATTACTATTTAATTTTTTTTAACAAAAACATATATTAACTTCTATCAATTAACTTGAACTACTGTTACTTCTAGATCTGTGTTTTGAAGTGGTTTTACTTTTAAACTTTTATTTTAAGCTACTTTAAAATTACCATTTTCCTCATTAATACTGCTCTCTTTTAACATTTCTATTTTTTTAGATATGACTATTTATCAAAATTGAAAATCTTTTGTATGAAGAAAGATTCTAATGATTCTCTGCGCTCATATTAACAAAACAATACTTCAACGTTCATTCAATAAAGGAACTGAGAAATTTGTAATATATCTATATGTATAATGGGTCAAAGCTTTTACTAAGAATAGGATGTCTTTTCATTTATAAATACATTCAATCTTAAACTCTTCTGATTCAGCATAGCATTATTAACTCTCTTAATTCTGTTGCGATATCTATTCAATAACTTTTAAGTTTAATATACTGTTATTTGACTTGAATTATTGAGTTATTATATTTTACAGATAACCAACAACATCCTTATGGACCCCTTTTTCTTGGCATTAGTAAATAGATCGAAAAAAAACAAATTAACAATATTAATGATGCCAATTAACTTTCAATTTAAATTCTGATTCTAGTTCAGATAGAATTTATTAAGCAATTAATTGTACTGATTGTGTTTTTTTTTATCTATAAATTTAATTCCCATTTACTTAATAGCTATGGTCTTAACATTTCAAGTACAACATCCTAATCAGTATTATGACTGTGGATAATTAAAATCACAGAGTGATTGTGAAACAGAGATAACAATCACAAAAACACGTGAATGAGTAGCTGCAATAGGAGCAATTGCAGCGAAAGGTTAGAAAAAGACAACAGTAGATCCATTCACTTCATTCAAACTTTTTTGTGAGCTTGTTGTTGAGCCAGAAACAAATTGTGCTAAGACATTACGTTGTGCTTATATCAATTCAAAATCTACACATTTTGCAGAATGTTCAGCATATGATAAAACTACAACATCAGATTGTTAAGCTATATCCTACTTCTGTGTAAGTGACTGAAATACCTGTATTGAAGCAAAAGAATTTAAAGAATACAATTAAAAACAATGCGAATTCACTCCAAGTATCTCATGAATTCTCCATTGTATATGGGATATAAATTCTGGAACTTGTATAGGTTACTGGTTGTGTTACAAAAGGTGCTGGTTTTGTCAATTGTCCATTACCTTTCTGATCTACTTACACAGATAATGAGGCTGTTGTTTATCTTATATTGAATCAGATGGAAATAGTGAGTTAGCAGCTGGAAACACATATCGTAAAGCTAAAGAATGTGTAAATGCTTAATTTACTTCTGATGATGAGTGCAAAGACTATTAAAAGGGATTAATCACAACAAAAATAATTGTATTTAGGGAATAAGAAAATCTTCATGGATTACTTATTCTGGAGATATCACTATTTGTTTTAGATATATTGGATCAAATGGTTTATGTGAAGGAGATGTAGGTGACTCTAAGTGTAGACTTAGAAAATGTGAAAATGGCGCATTCAATACTGATTAATTTTGCAAATAATATCAGGAAAGTTGTAAAACAAACTTTAAGACCTACGTTTCTGCCTTAACAGCTTGTAACACATATAAAGGTTTTGCCCCAATTTTTGCTGGATTTTTTGGTACTGATTGTTATTGCAAGGGAACCAAAGGCGATGTTACTAGTCAGTAATTTAAAGTAGGTCATGAAGGAAAATGTAAGAGGAGGAGTGGAAATAAATGTGTAGCTAGAGATTGTACCAACATTTATTAGTAATAGAGTTGATGTATGAATAAATAAACAATTTTTAGATTCTTGAAGGCTGTATCTTAATGTTTTGATGCAGCAGTTTGTAGTTCTTAACATTTACCTTGATACAGCAAAAACCGATTAATAAAAATTCGATACTTGTACAAATATCAAAGACAACACTGGGTTGTTATGTGGTGTTACTTTTTTAAAAAAGAATGTATCAAGTACACCAAATGAGGTATGTACCATTTCTTATTTAACTATAGCAACTTGTACCTATAATTATACAATAAATGAAAATACTGATTCACTTAAGTTAAGTCAATATTCGAAGTTTGTTACTAATATATTTCAGGAACTGCATGCATATTCAAAACTGGTGAAACGAAGTGTACTTTATAGAATAGTTGTATAAAGTTAATTACCTAAGTTTATTCAAAAACCTATAATGTTTAAAACAATTTTTTCCTCTGAGGAAAATGTGAAAGAGTGACAGATTCAACTTTTCTAACATTATCAACTGCGTTCTCAGACTAAAAAATTGATTCTAATATTGATACAAATAAAAAATAAGAATTATGTTAGGGTTTGAAGGCTGTAGATAATTTAGCTAATATTAATGAGGGAACAGCAAAGTCTACAAAGTGCGTGTATGGAACGGGAGGTTAATGTGATGCCATCCCTCTTTGCTCAGACACATATTCAGCTTTAAACTAAGCAGTATGTGAGGCTTATAAAACATGATGCTTATATTATAGTGATGTTTTATGCTGCTGATACTTCAAGTAATTGCCCCACATCAATCCCAAATACATTTACAACTGATTCTTAAAATCTCTTTAATGTAGATGTATCAAAGAAGCTACTGATCATAGTAGCTTTGATAAAACTGATAATAAGTACATATTATAAACTAATGCGGATTGTGCTTGTATAAACATTACAACTTCAGGTAGTTGGGATACTTAAACTGATGCAACTTCAAATGCATATAAAGCTGCTTATTGTTTAGCTCAATCATATAAAAATAGAACTAAATTCTGTAAATATACGGCTGCAACTTCCACTACAGTTTGTAGTGATGCAACATGTGAAGATATCCCTTCACCAACTATATAAGGAGATTGTGATAATTATCTATCTGGCTGCAGCTTCTATAAAAATAAATGTTATATACCAGAAACAGTATCAGCCGATGCTGATTGTGCTGATAATGCTAAAGCACCTATGGACACAAGATTGACGGTAAAATATAAGGTAGCATATTAATCTTATTGAAATTCTGGCAAAACAATATATTTTACATATGATTAATATAATTCAGCTTCAGCTTAATGTGTCGGTGGTGGTACTTGTGCTCCATATACGGTAATACCAACAACTAATGATACGGATAAGTCAACATATTGTTTAAGCAGAATAAATAATACTGGATAAAGATGTGCATTCACAATTGCAAATGCGAAATGCAGAGGCTTTGATTGCTAAGATTTATAAAATAAATCCTCTTAAGTCAATTGCGATTTAAGAGCACCAGGAAAAAAATGTGTTTACATCTTAAGCACATGCTATAATAAGGAAGAAGCATGTATAACAATCACTTCTTAAAGTTGAAATGAGAAGAGCTATTGTGATAAAGCCAGTGGTGCCACTTCATGTACTTACATTTCAGGAACAACATGCGATATTTAAAAAGATTGTTATATTTATAGTGTAACTACAAATTAAGCCACTGTTTGTGACTGATGCAAGTGAAACTAAGTGAACTTATTTTGAGGAAATAATTGTGTTGAAGCGGGTACTTGCGCTTCATATGATGGAAATACTACAGCAGTAAAAGGACCTCTAGCTGATTAAGAGGATACAGTTAAATCAAACGCCAGTTATCCATATATTAAAGATACTTCTGCTTCTAAGAAATGCATAGCATAAGTTTTTACTGACAATGATATCAGTGCTATGAGTGTGTTGATAATGCCACCAACTGTCTCTATTATTCTAACGAATATATTAACAAGGAATACACTATAAGGTAGTGATAATACAGCTAAATAAACATGGTGTGAAGAAATTTGAATTAATCAGGAGATTATTGTGTTTGGGATGCAAAAAGTTCAAAATGTTAAGAAAGAACAAGCAGTTATAAGTAATTCTATACAGATTTTGATTGCTGCATATATAAATAAACATTTTATGATAATTTTACAGCTCAATCTGATTATGAATGTGAATTTTATTTCTCTGTGTCTTTGATGGAACTTCATGTATTGATTATGGATAGAATTGTAATACATTCAATGGAACTGAAGAGACATGCTCACATATTTGGCTAAAGATGGCCCGTACAAAGCCACTACAGTTGGAACGATAAAAGGAGCAAGCGCTGAGAGAGTATTTACAGAAGCACCAAATAATCTTACAACTGATGCAGATTGCTAGAAATATAAGAATATTGTTAAACAACCGATTAAGGATGCTCAAATATCAAGAATGTGAAATCTTTACTTAAAAAGCTTCATGCAAATTAAAATCAAAATGTACATGGACTAATTGGTGTTCATCTACTAGTAATACATGTGCTACTTATAAAAATACTTATTACTCAATATGTACCAATTATAAAGTAAATGGTATTCTGTGCTTGTTAAAAATCTAATTCAACAATCAGAGCTTAAGTTTATGAAGATTAGCCAGCAACAATTACTTCTTATGCTTAAAGTTAAAACTTTGCTGATATTTGTACTACGACTAGAGCTGCTTGCATAGCTATTTCAACATTTTCATTATAATAGACACAAACTATTTTATAGCTGCTTCAACAATTAAAGATGGAGTAGGTAGATACGGTTGGGATACTACTACAAGTAAAGCAGAGCTAGAGGTTGCAGTTATAAAAATGGCTTAAATGATGGTGAATGTAATAGCTTCCTTTCAGGATGTAAAGCAAATGGACCAGGTTGTGTGATCGGATATCATATACTGAATTCTCTAATAAGCAATTCTGTTTTCAATCTAAACCTTGACCATGTCTTTGGGTTAATGGATAATGTTATGACAGATGTGAAGATGCAGTGAAAAAGACACATTCTGAATGCTAAGCATTTTCACAATTATATGCAACCAATTGGATGCTTGCATACTTATTACATCCTTTGCCAGTACTACATTAAAGGCTTCTTGAGTTTTAGGAACTGATGGAGCTTGTGGAGGGTTACCCACTGGAACATGCTAGAATTCTGGATAATGCACAGAAGTTATTGCTGCTGCTAATGATGAATGTGTCTCTTATGGATCAAAATGTATGGCTGATGGAACAGCATGTATTGCTAAATCAACTTGTGGTAGCTACAAGACATAAACAGCATGTAGTA